TGTTATTTTTTGGACCCTTCAACCCTTTTTTTGAACCGCCTCATCAGAAAGGCTAGAAGAAATTACATAAATTTTCCATTTTTGCAGAAAACAAATGGACAGAATCAAAACATTTAGAAGGTTTAGAGAGTCTCTGTATTTAAGCACTTGTATTGTATTGGCGTATGTATATATGTAAAATATAGTATATATTCGTATGATAATTGTCTGTGTTATTGAATAGTGGACCTCTTTATTATGTCTTTATTAAAGCCATTATTATTACTAGTAGCCATCGTGTCGGCGGAGTTTTGTGTAGAATCCAGATCGGTGGGGGTGGAGCAAAAACTGTCCAATATAATGTTGCCAAATATTACAACAAAAAAAGTTGATTTAAAGGTATAATTAAATCTGTTGACGAATCTGTTCATTAGGAAAAAGCCCCCATCAAAGGAGTTAACAAAATGGAGTTTAACACGGAACGTAATAATGGATTATTCTTGCACCACTCGTGCATCCTGGCAGTCCTTTTCTTCATCTCTTTCGATACAGTAGGGTAGGTTCACACATCTTTCCCTGGGGGGTAATCAGCCCCCTGCTGCTGTTCGGGCACTGGAGCAGCTAGGGGCAGACCTGCTCAACGTATTACACCATGAGGCACAAGTTTGACTGTCAACCTTGCAGCTGGCTTTCTACTTTCAAGAATTGGGAAATGTTGGATGCCTCATGGGTCAGGGTGCTCTTACACTTCTACAAGTATTTGCTTTCATATTGTTCCTATTTTTCTGGGTATGCTTCTTGACTTCGCTGTTTCCATTCTTTATTTTTTTTTTTGGGTTCTGTTATTATTTATATTATTATATATATTTTATTATTACTTAATTATTATTATTATTTAGATTGATTATGGCAGCCGAGTACCCAAGGAGCAAATTTCTTGTATGTAAAAACCTTCTTGGCAATAAAACTGTTTCTGATTTCGGTTTGATGTGATACAGTTTGCTCAATTACAAGAACTTTTCCCATCATTATTCAGGGCCATACTGTTTGTTTATTCATATCTATACAGCAAAAACATAAATAAAATAAAAAATAGTTTATCCATAGTTCACATTGGTCCACTGCAGCTACAGGAGTCCTTCAGTTATAAAATCTGCTTCATCACTCTGCACAGACAGTGACACAGAAGTTTTATTCATCTGGATGGGACTCTTGTGAGTCCATATAAATGAACTGCTGCCATCTGTTGGTCAGGCTGTACAATTACCTTTTTTGGTAATTCATGACCTTGCTCGCAGTTACATTTCAGATCTCCTTGTTCCTCATTCCATTTTGTTCCTCAAGTTTAGGCTCCTCAAAACCCACCTCTATTGGCAAGCCTTTTTATAGATGTTTCATTTGTTTTCTCATCTGTCATTTCTCTAATTTATCCTTCCCATCTTGTTTTATCTTCCATATGTCAGTCCCTTTGCGCTAGAATCCATACAGTTACCTACTACCCCTATCAGGTCAGGATGTCTCACAGTGCCTCCTATATAACCGCGGCAACCATGGTAACCATAGTTTTACAGCAGGCCTTTTTCACAGCCGGCACAGGTGTTACTAATAACATTAAAGATCTGTTATGTTCAAGTGTCCCAGTAAGCCAATGCCAGAAAACAGACACAGAAGCAGCTAAATGGACTTCAGCCATCATAATTTTTTTATTATTTATACCTCGACTTTTACATATCACCATTACTACATCAATCGATATTGTATAATAGTAAAGGTGAAGGTATAAATAATTCCCCCCCTCCCCACTACCCCCCTATGCATAACATGCTTCTGAATACTGTTAAACCTTCCACCTGTAAAACAGGAACTTTTTAAACCCAAATTAGTTCTGTACAGTAAATGCTTTGATTAACAGAGCCTGGATTTTATATTAAGGTATTGTCTTTGTTGAGGGGACTCCCAAATGAACTTATTTCAAGGGCTAAAAAATGGCACAAAAATGCACTGAGTGTATTGAAGTGAATAGGAAACCTCTTTTCAGATGAAAGATGCTTTATTATGTTCACCATTATAATTTTCAATTTCTTAAACTTACTACAAAAGCAATATGGGTGAAAGTGAGGTAAATCAGAAACTGGACAGTAGCAGTTACAGTAATGGTTAACAAGCAATAGCAGAGGCTCTCTTTATAAATGTGACCTGAATGCTTATGGTCCTGGTTTTTTATCTAAGAGTTTCTTTTTTTCTCCCAAGTTGAGTCACTTCCCTGCATTAGCTCTTGGCTGCACAGGTCTTTTGCGCTGATTCAGTGGGGGGCAAGCAGGGGGCAGCAGCGGCTTGCGGCTCTGGCCTGGCTTGTTGCCTGCTAGGGAGAGCACTGGATCTCTCCGAAAAAGTCGAGAGCTTTCACCCTTCGACGAGCTCAGTGTCTCTGATTTGGCGCGTGGGCCAACGATGACGGGGGCACACGTTTTAGGGATGATTGTGGTCATGGTCCGAGTCAGGACTCTCCCTCTTCTGGACGCCAGCGAAGGAGGTACTGAAGGCTTCTGTTTCTTGTCTGGGCCTTGTTGCTCTTTGGGATGTGGCTGATGTAGACGGTGCATCTTACACTCCAAGTCTTTCAGAGCCCGGTCGGTGTAGGCCTGCATTTCTGCACGCACCTGAGAAATCTGCACTTCAAACTCATCCCTTAAGGCCTTTGTACTAGTCTCAAGCTTTTTTTCAAACAGTACACACAACACCTCATCCCTTAGATCCATCTCATCTTTGCTGTCATCTGTCAACACCTCTGCTTGTTTCTTCCCCTCACTGCTGACATCCTCCCCCTCAGGTTCCCCGTTCATCTGCGCATTCTCCATATCTCTGTCTCTGACTCTTTGCACTAGATCCAGTATGCTGGTCTTTGGGGCCTTCATGGCCACTTGCGATCTGATCCGGTTACGTACCTGCTGGAAAACAGACTGCAGCCTTTCTTGTGTCTCCTTTTCTGCAGAGACGCTGTCCTCCAAACATTCCTCGTCCAGACCAGACATCTGCTCTTCTGCTGCAGCAGCGTCGTCACGCTGCTCCTTCTGTTTACCGTTCACCAGTATTTGTGGATTTGTTTCAGATGATAATTCACTCATGTTAATTTCTTGTCTTGACAGCTGCAGTGCTCCCTTGAACTGAAGCTACTACAATTATGTGAGGAGTGCTGGCGTGGGAAGGACCTAATTGAGGTGTTTGTCCTCAGAGGGGCTGAATACCAGGGGATTCAGGCCTACAGTCTGGTGTAATACAGCATGATGTATGAGATAATATTTAAAAACACTGTAGTGAGACAGAAATGCAAGTTGAAAAAACAGTTAATATCAAATGTATCAACATACTGCTTTTTGGAGTAGATGAGACCATTAAAAGTCTGTAAAGACTGCTTCTAACTGCATCTTCTAAAGCAGAACTTCACTTTTAATGTAAGTGCAACTCTGTTTAACGGTACTTTAACTACAACACCTACCATATAACACTACTAAATGATCTAGCAGCTAGATATGTAAAGCAGCTGATATTATTTAATCCCGCACATTGTGTTTCTTTGTCTGCATGTGTGTAGTTGCATCCCATGACAACAGTGAACCTCCAGGTGACAGCATGAAAAACAAAGATCTTCAGGGACGGCCGCAGTGGGAACGCTGAAGAGCGGGATTGAAATTCTCATTAGTGAGCTGTTACTGGAATGTGGAGATGTAACACACAACCAAGACACCTGTCTGTTCATCAACATGTTTTTCTACTCCAGAATCTTTCACTTATTGGAGATATTTTATAAAATCACTGCAGCTAAAAAACAACTTCACAGGTTGGACATTGCACAATCATCATGATGTAGATTCTGTAATGAGGAAGAGGAAGACCAGCTGATTAATATTCAAAATTGGTTAAAGCAGCTTAACATTTATTTTGAATTTATACCTGTTAACATTATTTATTTATTATTAAAGCCAATATCATTTGGAAAGTGCGGAGTGAGTGAGACATAACTCATGAATGATTAATAATAAATCATTAAAGACGAGTGCCTGAATAACTCAGAATCGAGGGCTTTATAGTAGATGATGTGAGTTAGATGTGAGAGCAGACTATTAATGAATCATTAGGGATTTTTTTGTTCATAAATATCTGTGAATCATATTGAACACTGTCTTCATGAGTGGTTCTGGATGAATCAGCCACTCAGTGGCACAACACTAGTACCAACTCATCATTTATTTTCTAAATCATTATTTCCTTTTCGTGTGCCGCCCCAAGTAAAGTGATACATCAAGTAGTTACTACGTAATCCCTCATTACTTACTTTACCATTACTTTCCCTATTTTCTGTCACTTTTTGCAGTTTCTCTACAAGTCCAAATGTATTTTGAGATTATTTATTATTTCACTATATCTGCAATTGAAACCTGCATATACCCTGCACTACACCACTGGCTTTTTGTGATTGTTTGCTTGGACAATAAAGTTAAAGTTTAGTGCAGAGACAACTGGTGAATGGTCTGTCCTTGTAGAAATCTCTGATTAACAGCAGTTTAATGTAATCAGCCTGCTCTTCACACTGAGGCGTATTCCATTTTTCAGATTCAGTATCGAGTTATGGTTTTATCATAGAAGCTTAAATTATAGACAAAACTATCCTGAACTAGAGCTGTAGCCTTCATCACCGTCCACCCTCCTATGACTGTTAAGGACTGAAAGACTGTAATATTATTACCAAGTTAGCCTCTTTCATCCCCCAACCCCCAACTGCTGCTAACACTTTATTCCATACCATACAATACATGTACATGAGCAATGTACATCTATCTATGCTCATGTCTATGGTGTGTGTTGTTTTAAACTACTTTAATGCTGTGCAGTATATTTAATACCTTTTTATACTACACTGGAAGACTTTCATTGTTCATCATGTGCCTTTATTACCATAGATATACACACAGAGAGCTGCCCTCTTCATATTTATATTCATTTCTTGTTTATTCGTCATCATGAAGTATATAGCGTAATAAATTTATATAGTTTGAGTCTGTTCATTTTTCAGATACTACACTGTTGTCTGTAAGCCCAGCAAATTTAACCCTGTCAGCTGCACCAGCTGCAACACATTAATTCAACCTGTAACGTCCCCAAAAACAATCACTAATTAATGGATCAACTTGATTTTACATGTGTCACATTTTTACAAAGATATTACACAATAACATTGCACCCTTTTCCCTTTTTTTAACTAGAATAATCACAATAATTGGAAAACTATATGTAGAGGGGGATTGATGGGATGAGGGCATTTCAACCCACACAAGGGTTCACTCAGCTCAACACCAGTGAGCCAATAAGAGTCCTGCATGAGTGAGCCTCCTCTCGCCACTAAACACTAACATATGGACTCCTTCTTCTGAAAAAATGCAGCTGTAATTCTAAACCTGTGTGGACAAATAACCTTTTTCTATATCCATTTGCAGGGGAAAAAAAAAATAAAAATAAAAATTTATTTATTAAATCTGATTATGTATTATGCGTTATGAAGCCGAAAACGTTAAAAAAAAAAGTATGCAAAATAAAATTTTCCGTCAGTCTCAGATATATTATGAGCATCGTAGTCAGTAGCAAACATCTGACAGTGAATTAATGATGATTAGGTCTAATCAGACCTGCAGTATGTTGACTTGTTTTCCCAAGTAATCATTGTATAACAGCAAAAATGGACCAAGCATCAATACTCTCCCTCCTCCTCCTCCTCCTCCTCTCCTCCAATATCTCCTCCTCACCGGTGGGAGTGGATTTTTAGAAACTTCCTCCTCTGCTTTTAAATTCAAGTAAAGTTCATTGTGGATTTCATTCTGACAGGTTCTGGCAGGTCAGGTCACGGCGAGCAAGATGGTGAGTTATCGTTTTACTGTTGTGTCTTCTTTTCTATTGTTACCTGTGACAAAGACCTGAAATATGTGTCCATGTACTTCAGCATTGCTATTCTTTTTCTTTGTCATATAATGACTTTATAATGTGCTTTTGATTATAGACAACATACACAGATAAAGGCGAAAAGGTAAGTAACATAATTATGTGCGTTATTGAAACCTCTGCACTAAAACCAGGCTTTAAATGCCACTAATCCAGCATTTATTTGAGTTAATTTCAAGATTGTCTTTCTTTTTAGGCACACTTAAATATGTGTTTTCACTAATTAAAAATAAATGTTATTTCATTTATTGAACCATTATTTCTTTCTGTCTGCAGCATGAGCAGGGCAGGTTCCTCTGCTTTGATCACTTAACATTCTGGGTTGGAAATGCCAAACAAGTAAGTTCCACTTTTTTTGGACACATTATTTTTTTTTTCTGACCAACTTCTCCTCGCTGATGGAGGGGTAGACTATACATTGAGCAAGGCTATTGGTTCTCCAGAGGGGTGGAGGGGACACAGTATGCAAAACCCCCGAGCATATACTAATTTAAACACAGCACAAACTGAGTCAAGCCTCACGAGTCACCAGGAGATGGCGCTATCAGAACGTTTAAGTTTAAGTTGCAATTCACTTCAACAAGCAATGTGACACTTCTGTATGACTTTATATTGTCTACTACAGGCTGCATCGTATTACTGTAACAAGCTGGGATTTGAGCCTTTGGCTTACCAGGGCTTGGAGACAGGCAGTCGAGAAATGGTGTCCCATGCAGTCAGACAAGGAAAGGTAAAGAATCCTCAGTGCCTGGAAGTACAGCACACATCACACAATATGAGAAAATCACCAATAACATCATAAGATTTATTTTAGTGCAACAAAACTGACAAACACTGTTCTTTTATAAAGTAAAATACTTAATGGAAATTTGTTCCGCGCAACTGTTCTCGTAATGCATAGTTTTTTTGAGTAATCATGGATCATAACACTAGCTTTCAATAAACAACTACATTGGAATCAAAAAGTTACTTTGCACAAAGTAAACCAAATGTAATTATGTGTTTTCACTTTGTATTTCTCAGATCATTTATGTGTTCTCATCTGCCCTCAATCCTGGAAACAAAGGTACAACACTGATCAGGAAACGGGTTCTCCAAAAATATCAATATTGCAAAAAATAACATGACAGTAACTTCTGAGTTCTACATCGATTTTTAATCAATAATTTCTCTGAGATTCACAATGAAAATCAGTTCCAAGATTTCCAGAAATATAAGATGCATTACTTTTAAATTCTTGCACATATTTTTGGATTTTTGTAAAATGTAAAGATTTTATCCCTCACTATTTAGTTTAACCTTTGTCTTATTCTGAAAATGACATAACTCTCATGAGGTAGATGGCATCTCACACATTTTTATACCTTAGTTGGCCTGCTGACAGAACACTGAGCTCAGTAGTTATACCCTGAAAATTAGACTTGGGTACATCACAGACATACTAAACACTGTTAAACAGTTATTCCTATATATTTGGCAAAAGTCAATTAGTATAAGGTGCAAAAATACATTTAAATCGTCATTTTAGATGCTTCAAAAATTAGACATGACACAAAACATAGTAATATTACTGTGTAAAGAAAATGTTGTCATTTTTTCTCAGAGATGGGAGATCATTTAGTCAAGCATGGGGATGGAGTGAAGGATATTGCATTCACTGTGGAGGACTGTGACTTCCTTGTGCAGGTAAATACTCCTAGCTATAATTTACTAACTTCTGCTAACCCACTATACCTACCTGCAGCTACCATAATGCACTTACCTCCTCTCACAGAAAGCCAGAGAGCGAGGTGCAATTATTGTAAAGGAGCCCCAAACCCTGGAAGATAAGCACGGCAAAGTCAGACTGGCTGTGCTTCAAACGGTAAGAGAAGTCATGAAGGCTGAATAAGGTTAAACATTTTAGTCATTATTTCAATTTAGTACATTATGGAATAAGTTAAAATGCCAGGATTGTACATTTTTGCTTTACTTGCTGCAGTATGGTGATACCACACACACGTTTGTGGAGAGGTCAGGGTACAATGGGTTGTTCCTGCCAGGCTTCCACCCTCCTCTCTTCAAGGACCCTTTATTATCCAAACTGTGAGTGCACATACGTCATCATAATGTTTATGAGACGATAAAGACAGAATGACAACTCATCTTTGTGTGTTTTTGCTTCCATTCTTCCATGCAGACCAAGTGGAAAACTGAACTTCATTGATCACGTTGTGGGGAACCAGCCGGATGATGAGATGGTTCCAGTGGTGGACTGGTAATGGACTATTTCTTGTAGAGAGTTTAGAAGCATGCAGTGCAGCACATGTGATAACCTGCCGCTCATGCCCCTGTGTTATGATGTCTAAAAGACAGAGGAGTGGATCAGAGTCAAAGGGTGTCTGATTCTTGCACAATTCTGCTTTTTTGGCATAAGTCAGGGATCAGCATGACTTTGCATTTTCTTAAGTGAGTCTCTGGTGGTTCTCTACATCTGGAACTTGTTTTTACCCCATCATATGAGCATGAAAAGGCGGGGAAAGGCAGTTCTCTGAATGAGCGAGCTCATTGGTTGATCCTGGAAAGAGGGGTGTTAGACAGGCTTGATGTTTTTAGATGTGAAGAACCTCATAAAGCTGGCTCATAACTCAAAAAGTCACTCATTCATGTTCAGCAGACCACAATAAAGGCATCAGTTTGGGGCATTTAAACAATTCAAATTCAAAAACACTAAGCATTTAAAATGATTTAACACTGGGTATGTTAGGAGTATTTAACCCACCGTATGTTTGAACCATTGTGGCTCTTGATCTCTGGTTCATGATCTAACAGGTATCAAAGAAACCTCCTCTTTCACCGCTTCTGGTCTGTGGACGACAAGCAGCTTCAGACAGAGTTCAGTGCCCTGCGCTCCATCGTTGTGGCAAACCACGAGGAGACCGTGAAGATGCCCATCAACGAGCCTGCCATGGGGAAAAGAAAGTCTCAGATCCAGGCACGTTCTTTGCACTTTAACAAATATGTGGTCTGGAAAAAGATAATGGTTAAATGACATGGTACATTTTCACTTACAGGAGTATGTGGAGTACTATGGAGGTCCAGGAGTGCAGCATATAGCCATGAACACATCAGATATCATCACTGCAGTAAGTCTACCAGACACCTCTGCTTTGTTAATGTGGATGAATCCCAAAAAGCAGCAACAATAATGATCTGATGGATTTGCAGATTCGTAACCTAAAGGAGCGTGGGATGGAGTTTATGTCTGTGCCAGACACCTACTACAGTCTGCTGAGGGAGAACCTGAAACACTCAAAGGTCAAAGTCTCAGAGGACCTGGATGTTCTGCAGGTCAGAAATAAGACCACATTTTAACAAATTTGTAGGAAATTATTATATATATTTCAGAAGAGCATTGTCTACTTTATAGTGAGCATACAAAATGGCAGCACACCCACTATTTAGTTTCACCCTAAAAGAGAAATTATGACAGACAAATGTTATCTTGTAATCTTACTCATATCCAGGAGCTGAAGATCTTGGTGGACTATGACGACAACGGCTATTTACTCCAGATCTTCACCAAGCCAGTTCAGGATCGCCCCACTGTGTTCTTGGAGGTCATTCAGAGACATAACCACCAGGTGAGGGCGCCACTGACAACTTTTACAACAGGAAATATACAGCATATTACTCTAAATCTCAATCCAATGTCTGCTGTAGGAATAGGATTCAGTTTGCAGCCAAACCTTAAATGCTTGATTTATCCACAGGGCTTTGGTGCAGGAAACTTCAAGTCTCTTTTTGAAGCCATCGAAGCAGACCAGCACGCCAGAGGAAATCTGACTGTCCTGACACCAAACGGAGTTTCGAAGAACATGTGATCCTAGTGTTGTAATTGCTTTACATTCCTGGAAAGTCTCAATTTACCATGAAAAGACACTGTCTGTTGAGAGTGCTGTTCACTTCTAAAGAGCATTACACTCATAACGTGCTACATCATCGCTCTCATTTTCTGAACTACAAAATAAGAATTCACAAAGCATGTTTATTAAAGCTGTTATTCTTTAATTTTTTTGTGACTTGCATGTTTTACTACAATGTAACATTTATTTTATAAGTATGTGTTGCAAAGTATTTTATAATAATCTCTCTTGATGTTAATGAAAGATCAGCTTATCAGTTATCAAGAAGAATGCATCCCAACTTAACAATCATAATGCAACTTTCGTTTTGTTTTTTACACTTTTTACAAAATGTTAACAATTAACTATTGATACAAGCTTGACTCAAGCAAAACACCATTTGAGCTCTCATGAATGAAAACATTTAACTATACATTTTTGTTATCATTTGAACAATAAGGGCAGAAATTTTATTGTAACAGACGGCGTTTGCGTGATGCTTGGAGTCTGTTGGATGTCGGTCTGTTTTTACCTCCACGTGGGAAAAGACAACAATTGCAAAATTTGAAAAGTGCCATTTTTTCATAAACTGTAGTGAAGAACCAAATGTAGTGGGGGGTTTTTATGTTCCCTTTATAATGTTTAACCAGAAAATGTGCTTGGTCCATTTGATTAAATCATTCACAGCAGCACCACCACTCCTCTGCAGTGCTTTTATGAGCTCATGTGTAGCCAGACAGTTACTTTAATGAGTATTAAAATGGCTTTTTTTGACACATCTTCAGGGTCTGTGTTTATGTTGTACCTCAGGCAACTTTGGCTCTTAACATAATCAGGACACTTCATTAGAGATTAGTTCAAGGAGCCACGGCAGCCATCTGCTCCACACAAACAAGGAATCTTTGTTTCCTCGATGGGAAACTTGTAGTCGTATGTGATCTCCTCATTGATGCTTATCGGCTGTCGGGAGTATATCACTATCTTCTTCTGAGACTCCACAGTGATGATCTTTGCATAGCAGTTAGGCTGCAAGACAAACAAACCCACAAGTGTAAACTTTGTAATGAGAATGAAAAGTTACTTTGCTTTAAGGCTTCGATTAAACAAATCACTGATCTTATTCAGAATCAGTTTAATCTCCAACCACAGCACCACCAGCTCTTACTCACGTTGCAGCTGTGGTTGATAAACCTGGCTAAGTTCCCACACTTCGTAGCATCGATGATGGTGTCCTGATCAACTCGGAACAAGTAGCTGCTTCCAATGCCCTCCTCCTCGTATTTCTGCTCCCTCATGTCAGCAATGACCTAAGGAGAGAGAAAACAGAGATAAACAACATATCACTATCACCCTACTCACACTCCTGGAAAGCACCCAGAACAACCAGAGGGTCCCAGTAGGCCACTGGGCCAATTCAAGAGAGACAATTAGGGGAAAAGCAGCTTGCTTAAAAGTTTGTCAGTGACATTTGTTATAAATGGTGGGTGCCTTATAAATTTATTTCCAGGCCTTGTCATTGTTTGTCTTACCTGTCTGATGATTTGGCCCACATACTCAATCACCATCTCATCTGCTGCTATAGGCTCCATTGCAAACAGGCCCCACTCGTGGATGTGACTCCGGCTGAAACGAATCCTCTTCTTTCGGAACTGATATGAGAAGATATGAGGAGTTTCATCGCAAAATGAAACATATTTGTTAACATAGTGGCCTTTTGTTCACACAGGATCCAACTGCTGCAAATACTGACATGACAAGTTATCTCCTTTGAGGTAACAAATCAAAATACTGTGTTTGGGTAAATAATTCTGACCACAGCAACGCCTGTGCATCTGGACAGACACACTACTAAGTTTGTTACATGTTTTAAAATAAAGCCTTTGGTCCTTGCCTGTCTGACTCTGCCTGCCAAACCCTTCCCTGACCCTCAGATTGATGACCCTCTCTTCCTCACCCCTTTTGACCCAGGCCTGCTTCTGACCTCAGTAAATGTGGACTTTTGTACTTTTGGGTTTGAGTTTGTCCTGTTCTGTGCAATCTACAAATTGACCTCAATCAGTGGTATTCATATGACCTTGCTAACACGGTTATTCTGTGTCTATATAAGCATATGGGACCTGGACTTACACACTGACAAAAGATTGTATCGATCCACTGTTTTTGTTCTACTCAGATAAACAGAATATGTGCTTAAGGAATGCTACAGGCTAACAGATTCATATAAAATTGTTTGCACTTCTTTCACACTGACGGCAGGGTTTTTCCAGTTGAGTGTACTTATCTTTACTAACACCTTCCTTACCTTCAGCTGGTTGAACTTGACCAGGTCACTATCACAGCTGAAAGAGGACAATAGGCGACGTTGTTCAGACCTGAAGTCAGATCCGGCACGCAGTGAGGTCGGTTGCTGGACTGGGATGCACGTTCCGGCCTGAAATATATGCTGACATTAAGCACTGAATGGAATCAATTGTGAACTGAGATCATCACATGTTCCCCTCTTTAATACCTGAGTACTTGTAGATGGAAGCTCAGTGGTCAGCTTTGTGTTGTTGAGGTATTTCAGTTTATCTTTTCTGCTGATTTTGTAGAAACCTTCACTGCGAGCACAGCCGGTCCTGTGATGCGGCTGCCAGGAATTGTGTTCGTCAATCTTCTCTGTGAGGACTTTGGTCAGTGAGCAGCAGTTAAGGAATCAGGAACAAAATATGAGGTACAGGACTGTGTATAAATCACATAAGATTACTAATTTATCTGAATTCATTATTTATGTGTAAATTCATCTTTCAATTGCAAAATACAACACCATTTAAAGGTCCAGTGTGTAAGATCAAAGCAGCAACATCTGTGGCTGCGAATGAAGACACCACCTGAGTAACAAAAACTGCAGTTCCGTGAACGGCCACTTGAGGTTGGCTCCAGAAGTGAGTCAATCTCCATAAGACTCTATATTAAAAATGCCCAACTTTACAGCAAAAATAAACATGTTTACAGCGTGGTACAAAATACTCTGTTCATGAAAACTGTACGCGGGTGAATATTTTTATAACTCACCTGTTTAAATTATATTAAGGCTTAAATTTATGCATAATTAATGGAATGGTCGCTTTGTATGTTTTCAGTAACCAGGCTTTATTCAGCCGGCCTCAGATCCATTCATGCTCCACGTCTTTGCCCATTTGTGGATTAGCACAGGAGCCTGCAGACTCAGGACTGCCAAGATGGTAATGGCCAGAGCCAACCACACAACGGTTGGTCATGTAGACTACAAACATTTTTAATTATACAGTCTATGGCTAAGATTTAGGGTGCTCCATTTGCATAATATGACAGAAAAGTAGTATAATATTCATAGGTGTGTTTTCATGTATAATAAACTGATGTGCTTTTGTTACCTTAGAATGAGACGTTTTTATCTACAGATGGTCCTACTGCAGAGGGCCACCATGTTGAACCTCCATGTTTCTACAATAGCCCA